CGCGAGAAAAGCCCAGAAAGCCAGCCAGTTTTCCTGCTCTGCTGCTGTTTTAGGGCCAGATCTCTCTCCCAGAACAGCAGATTTTTAAGGGGCCTTGTGAATTCTTATTAGGCATCCAAACGCAGATATAAAACCGTGCATTGTAAACAGAATTACCCTGCATATAAAACAACCAAAATACTGTAAGGTCTTTTCTTTTCCTTATCAGGTTACCCAGGCATATTTTTTAAAAAGTCCACCCACGCAGAGAGACTGGGGAATGCCAAAGCTGCTTGAATTTTAATTATGTCAGACATGCAGCAAGGGGCTACCTTGTAAAGAACAGAGTTAATAAAACATGGATATGGGCTTAATTCCACTTAATAAGCAGACCTGGCAATGCACATATTTTAGATGTAATTTACACAGGGTGGGAATTTGGTACAGTTCTTAAAAGGTGGCTGCATGCAGACTTCCAAACTCAATGGTGCCTTCCTATTGGAAGAGATTTGTTGCTATGCTGCTATGAGATGTGAATTAGGCCATTCATAATTATCGGTGAGAGATGGGTGCCCTTCTTTTCCCATTCAGCTGCAGGAGTACACTGATACATTTTACAGTGCTATTAAATTCAAACCTCCCTTAACTTTGCACATGCATTTTTAGTGGCTGTGCACATAAAAGAGCAAATAAAAAAAGCATGCATTTCTATCTGTGGTTAGCTGTCTGTGAGCAGAATTAGTAGAAGAGAGATATGCCTAATGACAAAATCTACAGAATATAGCCCACGGCTTTTGAAGGCTCTATGAAAAATAAACAGGATATTCTGTAAGCAGCCCTGCGGGAATTATTGCACTTCGCTAAGGAAGGATGCCAATAACCTCCGTTTTGACCTAGATAGATCATTCTGTTTGGGAAGGTAAGGGAATGCAATTCTAGATCTCTTCTCTATTCAAGCCAGCAAAGCTCTGAAATTCATCCAGGCCTTCGTTTTTAAACCTCAGCACTGAGGACAGAAGAATGTATTTATTGAGTGAACAAAGCCTCAGAGGTGACAGCACGTTGAAATGTTTATGTTGGCCTCCTTCCACAGCACGTGCCCAGTGTGTAGGCTCCTTTCTGCCCAGGGTGAGGACTGAGGGGCATTTAATAGGTCTTATGATCAGGCAGAGAAGCCTCTGCTTGCTCGTATGAGCAGGATGGGCCTTTCCAATGTCTGTAGGAGCAACAGCAGGATCTCTCCAATGTGGTCACAGCACAGTTTGCTTGTTTGTTTTGTGAATGAGTGCAGCTCACTCCTTCCCTCTTCACAGTGTAGAGTGTACAGCTCTCTGGGCTGAAGGCAAGGAGGGAGCACCAGGGAGAAGGGAGAAGGAGAAAAACTGCCTTAATCATTATAGGTTATAAGGATGTTAACATTATACTAACACTATTATAGAGAGAGAAAAAAAAATGTAGACAGACAGAGATGTAAGGAATTGTGTGCCTTAAGGAAAAATGCCTCATTGGGCTGGTTTGGTCAAACAATGGAGCTTGCTTTGGTGGCAGTGAGGAGCGCAGAGCCTGCCTGCAGCAGGAGCACTCCATGCACTGCTGTGTGCTGTGCTGCCCTCAGAGCGACAACTGGGACAGACAAACAGATAGACGGCTTCAGCTCATCTTCTCCTGATGGAAGTTAGAGGGGAGAACTTCTGCTGGCAGTGTGTAGAGCACGTGTAGGCCTTTCTGCTTCACTTGGCAGCCCACCTAAGATGACACATTTCCCCTGCAAGAATGACAGTGCAGGAGCACGATGAGATTGGCCTTCAGTTCCCTGGCTCCAGCTCTGGCTCGCTCGGTGCTGTTAAAAGCACGGGCTGCTCAGAACCGCTGTGAGCTGGGGTGTGATCCAGAGTGGTGCAGAGCAGGTGTGCATGCCAGTAATGTCACCAGGAGTTCATGGCACGGTGCCTGCATTGAGAACCAAACCATGGACTACTTGGCCATCTATAAATAAAGACCTGTGTGCTAGCAAATGCAATATTATATTCAGCTTCAGAAGCTCTGCTTTAATTTAATTCCATTACTGCAGAGGCTGAGAAACCAGAGAGAAGCATTTCTTTTTGGAGTTGCAGCAGCTCTCTTCTTAAATCCGCAAATCACCAACAAGGTCTGTGAGCAGCTTTATCACCCATTAGGATCATTTTTAAGTGCAGAGCTGCTGCTTTGGGTTTGCAGCTACACAAGAAAATAAATGAGTCAGGTGATAACATATGTGAAATTTATTTAAAATAGGAGGTGATAAAACAGAGTTCTTTGACCAGACTACAGTCAGAAAGTAGCTTTATGTAGAGATGGAAAACCTCTTTCTTGGGGAGATATCAGATTTGCTCACATCCTTTGAAGATGGAGCTTTGGATAATTCACTGGCAGTTCAGACAGTGATTCCCTGATTGCAAACAGCTTTCTTTAGGCCATGCCTGTACCTTGTACTGCAACATTCTTTGATGTCAAGTGAAATAATCCAGCAGAGAAAATTAAAATACGAAGCATTTTATTTACAGGAAGGGAAAGAAAAATCTTTATTGATTGGAACAGCGAAATCTGCTAAAAAAAAATAAAATTGGCAGCAGTTAAAAAAAAATCCACAGCTTGACATTTATATCTCCTGAATGGCTGTGAATATCTTCCTCTCCTGTTCTCTCCTGGAGAACCTGATTCCACCTTGTTGGCATCCGCAGGATTACGAGTGAATATCAGGAAGTAATGCCCGAGTTTAGCTCATCCTTGTGGTCACAATGGGTGGATATTTCAGTTACCTTCTTTCCCTATGCATTACAATAGTTAAGAGCTGAATTCTTGCTGCGAAGTGGTGACACCGATTATTTTGCTGAAGCTGGTGATTCCCAGGGGTTCCCCAGTTGGTTTAAAGGGCTCTCTTCATCCCGGCAACTCTGGGACTGGGTTCAGCCTCACCTCACCACTGTTACTTGTCCCATGGTACCTGGAGCAGCTGAGATCTCCTGTGGTCTCCCAGGTACCCTATTGCTTGTCACTTTCTGCGTACACACATAGTAGCTCTTAACTGAACCTGAAAGCTGGCAAGCCACCATTCTTAATGGCAGCAGCAACAGTTCCGTATGACCAGAGGCGTATTTCTACATCTTAAATTTAGTTCACTGAAGTTTGTGTGTGGAAGTAAGTAGGTAGGAGTCAACCCAGCTCAGGCTAGTTGCCTCGATCAGAGAGCATGTGCTGATAAGCTTGTGTTGTGAGCTGGGACCACAAGTACCGGAGGCAGCCCAGCGGTGCCCACCACTGCAGCCGCCCTTCATGCCCCCCAGACGAGACAGCAGCCCCCCAGCAACGCAGCCCTCTCTGTCTAGAGAATAGGGGAAAGCAGTGGGGACGCCCGGCGGGCAGCAGAGCACGGCGGTGTGGAGGTGTCCGAGTCGGCTGTACGCATCTCCGGCGGCTGCTTAGTAGGGGCGGGTCGGGGCCGGCCGGGGCTGCGGGCACAGGGATGCCCGTTTCCCTATGGGGGCGGCCCGGGGAGGCTCCCGAGGACTGCCCGGGCAAAGGGGCAGAGCTACCGCGGAGCTGCAGTTGCCTCTCTCTGCCTGCGCGGTTTTTTCTCATCCGAACCTCGATCACGTAGGATTGCGTAGAGAAGGGTGAGCGGGGAGCAGCTGCAATCCTCCCCGAGCCCATAGCCGAGCTCCAGGCCGGCACCGACCGCCGCGAGGCTGCGGAGCTCCCCGCCGCTTTGGCAGCGGCCCCGCGCTGCGTGGGAGTCCGCGGGGGGGGGGGCGGCTTCCCCGGCCGCACCCTCCCCTCTCCCCCGCCCCGTTACAGCCAGGCTGAGCCGGAAGATGCGGGAGAGCGGCGGGTGCGGCGCGGCTCCTCCACGCCCCGCCGCCGTCGGGCGGCACCGCGAAGAGTCCTGAGCCCCGGACGGAGCAGCGGCAGAGGCAGCCGCACCCCTCACACTGCCCTCCTCCTCCTCCTTCTCCTCCTCCTCCTCCTCTCCTCGCATCGCTCCTCCTGCTGCCGTCCCCGCCGCGGCAACCGGGCCCGGGGCCGCCCCTGTGCTGAGCGCCAGCGGCTCCCGCCGGGCCGGGCCGGACGATGCGGGCTGCTGCCGTCGGGAAGAGCTGCGACCGGGGCAGAGGCGGCGAGCAGGGCTGGAGGAGCTGCACCAGCCATGGCGCTGTGAGCCCGGGGCGCCGAGCTGCGGCGATGTGAGCCCGTACCCTCGGCCGG